TATTCCCTGCTGCTCCTACTCTACCAGTCCCAATCCTGATCTGCTTTCAAGGTTTGGGATAAAGGGGGTTGCCACCCTTTTGAGATTAAACCTCTTCTAGACTGAATATTCCCTCCCTTTATACTTGCCTTAGCACTTACCTATATGTATGCTCAAGCAACTAATCTTCAGAGGAAACAGGTTTATGCTTTTTTTAAAAAGATTTTATTATTTATTTGTTTGTTTATTTGAGAGAGAACACAAATGGGGGAGCGGCAGACAGAGGGAGAAGCAGACTCACTGCTGAGCAGGGAGCCCGATGAAGGGACTCCATCCCAGGACCTTGGGATCATGACCTGGGCGGAAGGCGGACGCTTAACTCACTGAGCCACCCAGGTGCTCAGGTTTATGCTTTTTAAGAAACAGATCGAAGAAGTCTTTTAAAAGGCAGGATTTTCCACAGAAAATAAAGTAGTGGCCTTCATGCAATAGCTTCCAGGATTGATGTTTTATTATTTGAGTGTTTACTATTTGTTTCCCCTACATTATCTAATTGAATACTCACACAATTTTTCAAGGTGAGCTCTATTCCTGCCCCATTTTGCAGATGAGTTCGTTGAGATCATTAAGATTAAGGACCCTGCCCCGAATCCCACGGCCGCCTGTGGGGAGGCAGGGGAGGGCTGCCTGCAGAGCCCGCGCTCTGATCTCTCATGCTTTCTGGGAAACTGTGAAGGGCAGGTCACTTGTTCTCCCTTCAGTTATGGATGGAAGACCAGGACGACGTGCTGCACGGGACAGGTTTTGCCCCTTTGCCTGGACCAGCCTGCATGGTGTTCCAGCGAGTGCACCTCCGAGTGGAAACCTCTCTGGGCTTCCATCGCTAAATGAGGCAATAGCACTAGACCACCTGAGGCTGAGCTCTCCCTGGGCTGACATTCTGTGATTACTGAGCATTGGTGGAAGAGGGGGGCAGCTAATTGAGTGAGTTAGTAATTTGGTTGCCAGGGTAACTCTTTCCTGATTGGAAGGAAGGGATCACAGGGTTCAACACAGACTTTGCTGGATAGGAAAGTGGTGTCTGATCTTCGTTCCATGTCTCTGCTTATGAGCTGAAAAAGGAAGGGTGAAAATTGAATCCAAATATTGTAGCATTTGGGCCTAATTTAGAACGGAATCTTGGGGTGGCAGACTCTGCAGTCCTCCGTGAGGCGTACCATTCTTTTCCTCACAGTGCTTGTTATTTGCCACTTTCTGTGTTTTAATTTATTTTGTATTTTTTTTCATTGACTTTAGAGCTTGGTCTTTTTTTTTTTTTTTTAATCTGAGAGAGAGAATGGGAGACAGCATGAGAGGGGGAGGATCAGAGGGAGAAGCAGACTCCCCGCTGAGCAGGGAGTCCGACGCGGGACTCGATCCCAGGACTCCAGGATCATGACCTGAGCTGAAGGCAGTTGCTTAACCAACTGAGCCACCCAGGCGCCCAAGAGAGCTTGGTCTTTTATTCCATTTTCTGTGCCAGCTAGCTGTCTTCATAGGATGCTGAACATTTTGTTAAGAAAATGGTTGTGGCATAGCCGGCTTTCTCTAGTTCAGCCTAGGAGTCCGGGGTAGGGTTTTCCGGGTTCCGGGGGCAGGGCCGCCAGGTTGGACAACGGCAGGGGTGTCATTCCTGTGTGATGTTGTGCAGTGACCAATATTGGACTGCGTGTGATGGTACGAGGCTACTGGAAAGAGGCCTGAGCCGGGAGCCCGGAGACCTGGGTTCTAGACTCTGTTAGGCCTTTGACTTCATAAGTGACTTCGGTAGGTCACTCTGCCCCATCCCCTTCTGGGACTATTTTTCCACCTATAAAATGGTCTAATAACTTAAAATCATTTGTGTACACCTTGACTTATTCCGAAAAAGGATTTTGGGGGTGACTAGTAAGAGCTGCAGGATTTTTAAAAAGAGGGACAGTTAGGGTTATAGTGTATTTAAAGTGCCTGATAGTAGGCATTCGTTTTCTCCAGTCTTCCTTTTTTAAGGAGGGAGTAGTACAGCGTGAGCCCCATGATTGAGTCTAGCCTTAATCATCACAAGAAGCCAGCACAGGTTGTGCAGGGGCATCGAATCATGGCCAGTTTGGCCCTGGACTGCTCCTAAGCCTTTGACCTTCAGGAAACCCCATCCCCACTTAAGTAGTGGGGCTGAGGACCTCAGGGCTCCTCCAGTGCCAGGGGCAGCCAGCACCTGACCACTTCCCTCCTGCTCAGTGCCCAGAGGTGGCAGCCACGTGCACCCTTGGAGCCCCCCCGTCTCCCTTCCTCAGTCTGTGTAGGAGCCTCCATAATCAGCCTTCCCTTGCTGAGCGGCACTGGACAAGCGCCCCCCAGCCCTTCTTGGACAGCTTGTGGGAACTAGCTGGCTCGGTGTGCTCTGGAGGTACTTCTCACAGGCCATCAGGGGCTGTGGGTGTATTTGAGAGAATGGGGAGGTACAGACACCAGGCAGGGAGTCCGAAAGGGTGTTAGAAAATCAGGACTATATCATAGCAGTCAACCCAGAAAGCATTGTTAGGACCATGGCATGCTCTTCTTCCATGAGAAACTGAGGACCCAGTCGTTTGGCTACCAAGAGGCAGTCCTGGGAAGGAAGGAAGTAGGGACTAGAGACTGTTCATCTCCAGTACGTGCCAGTCACCATGAACCTTTTCCTCATCTCACTTCTCGTCTGTTTTATGGAGGAGGAAACCAAAGCCCACAGAGGTTGAGCAACTTGTCCAAGGACCCCATGTAATAAGCAGCCTTGAACCCTGGATAATCTGTCGCCTAGTGTGGCTCCTTCCGGGAGGGAACAGACTGAAGTAACTCAGAAAGGGAGGGGCAGACGGGCTGTTAGGTCACCGCTTAGGGAGAGAATGGTAGCAAACATGCCAAGGGCAAAGAGAGGAGTCCTTTCAGACTCCGCCAGCCAGCTTTCCCACAGTGGGTTTGTAGCCTGATCAGCCCCTACCCAAGAGCTGCCCCAGCCTTAAGGACTGCCTTGTGAAACAAGTCCACTTAATGACCACAGTAGAAAGGAAAAAAAAAAGGGATGAGCCTCCCAGTCCGCGGTGATGGGCTGATCTGATGTCCTCTGCAATACACGCAGAGGCAGCTTCATAAAACAGCTCCATCACGGACTAGTAATCCAAAAGGCTCTAAGGTTTTAGTGAATGGGATTGGTCCAAAACCTGACCTCACTTTCATTTAATTTCATGCCAGCACTAATACACACCCAGCCACGCAGACCCTGCTTAACTAGGGAGCTGCTCAGACACAAAGGCACTCTAATTACCATCCACAAGCCAGGCTGACAAGGATTTCAAGTGTTTTTAGGTTTATGGATTAGAGAAATGTGTTCTGTGCATCTTTCCGACCGGAGGCAAGAGTAAGATAAAATCAACCAACCAACCAACCAAAAAACCCCAACAAAAACCCCAATGCATTTATTAAAAACAAGTATTTCAGTTAAGTTAAAATCCTATAATTAGGATAGCCACAATTCCAGACACTCCGGTGCGAAGTGTAGATACGTCAATAGCCACATCTGGATGATGAACAAGCCATTGAATCTTTTAAAACTAAAACACCAACAAAACGGTTTTCGATCCCTCGGAGTAAGTGAACAGTATGTTAAAAACACTTCACCACGCTTCACAATGGCAAAGCCTGCAGCTTCTCCGTTTGGAGGGTCACATTTTCTACTCGGTTTCCTTCACTTACAAAGGCGAGCTGGCATGGCTGGGGGAGGGGCAGAGGGAGGACATCAACTCCGTCTATCCAGGGAATTGCAGCTGTTATTGCAAATGGCCCCGGAGAGTCCATTATAAGCTGCTGTGCGAGGCTGTGTCCCCGGAGTGCCCGTCACGTGGCGTCTTCCCAGCCCCCAGCCGGGGCCCCAAGGAGCGCCAGCGCCACCCGCTAGGAGTAGGACAGCAGAGCCGAGCAGGAGTGCCGGGCCCCGAGGCTAAGACTCTGGGCAGTGTCTATGAAAGCCCCGGGCGCGGCCGCCGGCGGAAGGCACCAGCGCCCGGCACGTCCCCGCCTCCCCCACACCCGCGGTGGCCGCGGTGCGCGTGTCCTTAGGAGACTCCAGCACTTGCAAAACACCGAGCACTTCTCCCGAGTACAGGCAGAACCCGGCAACTCTTCTGCTCTCCTGGAGCCCCGGAACCCTGCGGGCGCTGAGGAATCAGAGACCTTGAACCCGAGGAGGAGGGGGCCGGCTGTGAAAATATTTTAGAGAGGAAGGAGGGTTCGCTCCAGGGCTCACCTTACCCTTGCCGCCGCAGCGCCCGCTCCCGCCTCCCCTCCCCAGCGCGCGCGGGACCCTCCCCCGCCCCTCCGAGAACCGCAGCCAGTTGCAACGCGGAGGCAGAGCAAACGTTACTCCTATTCAACTCCCCAAAAGGTCCTTTCATGGCACCGCGTGTTTTGTATTAAGAACCAGCACCCACAAGACACGAGATGGGTTTTTTTCAAGAGTCGTAAATGTTCAAGTCTGGCAGTTTGAGGTTCTCCCTGAAATGATGGCCTGTCTACTCATGTTCCCCTCCCCCAAAGTGGATCAGGAACCAGCCCTGAAAAGGTAAAGCAAGTAACTGGGATCATCCTCGTCCTTTGGGCGCTCGGCGATCCTGGGACGCGTGGAGTGTGGCCACATGGTCGCCGGGCTGGAGGGCCCCGAGAGAAGACGTGGAACCGCACGCTACACTGCTGGGGCTGGTCACGCCAAATAAGGAGTAGTACTGAACGTGAGCTTGGGGTGCGTTCTGTAATCTGCCTCAAATAGGGCCAAGTTCTTCTGTTTTTCAAACGCATCGGGGCCCTCCATTAGTTCCCCGCGAAAATATTCGCGGTTTTTCCATTCCTCGTCTCCATTGGCTTATTTTCCCACTTCCAAAAACGCGAGTTCACCAGTCTGAGTAGAGATGCAGCCCTCAGGGGAATCCCGTGCCCTCCGGGCAGAGGCTGGCGCTGTGGCCACTCCCGGGGTGTTAGCTGCCGGGGACAAGAACGCCGTCGCCAGTTCTTAGCTGCGCCCTCCTCCCGGACGCTCCGGGGTCGCTGCAGGCCGCGCGAGGGCTGCGGGGCGAAGGGGGCTCATGCACCGGGGCCGACAGAGGCCCGGTGAGCGGGCGTTGGGGAAGCTTTGCGTGTAACTGCAGCCGTCTCGAATGAAGCCTCCGCACCGCCTCCTTGATGAGGTTCCCCGAGAGCACCAGCTGCTGCAGGAGCCGGTGCGGGTCGTCGTCGCCCGTGCGGGATTCGGGTTGGGGCCCGCGTCGCTGTTGCAGGCGGCGGGAGGCGGCGGCGCCCCGCAGCCAACCTCGCCGGCACGGGCCCGACAGCGGCTGCGGGGCGCCCCGCTTGTCCGCTCCCGAAGGCCCGTCAAAGCCGGGCTGAGGGGCCAGTGGGGACAGCGAGCTGGGGCCTGCGGCGAGCTCGGCCACGAAGTAGGGCGCAGCCCGGCCCCGCACGCGGCCGCGGTCCCCGAGGGCGCAG